TAGAGTTCTTTTTTTCACAGAAGTGAATATGGCAATTCTCCCAATAATACTAATGTGCAGAAAGAGTCTTCCACAATACAGAATCCTGTCCAAGATCACGTAGCTGCAGTGGAGAGCTAGGGTAAAATCCCTGCATTGCCAAATGCACCGGGAGTGTTTAAAGACACTTGAAATGCAGTAAGTTTCTGTCTTTCTCTGTGAGCTCTTGGGGCCTTTGATAAATTTTGCTTAGGTATCCCAAGCATGCACCATGGCCAGGACCAGGTCACATTGTGATATAAGAAAGTTCTAGCAGCCTGGAAACTCCAGGATCTCTTCATATAAGTGTTAATTATAATTAAGTTTTGTTCCTTTGCTGGGGAAAATCTAACAAATGGGTAAAAAATGTTCAGTCAGGTACAGAGGCTCATGTCTGGTATTCAGGAAGTTGAGGCAGGTACTCAGGAATCCCAAGTACTCAGGAAGTTTAAGTAGGAGGATCACAAGTTCTATGCCATCACGGGCAACTGAATGCTACCCTGTTTCAAAATTCAGGAAAAAGAAAAAAGGGCTATAAATATAGCTAAGTGGTAGAATCCCTTGAGTTCAATGATTAGACTGCAAAACAAAAAAACTTAATTAAGTCTACATAAGGTTAATAGGAATTCTCAGAATGCATTCACAATAAGAATTCATAGAGGAAAATTTGGTAGCTGACCCTAAGAGAGAAACAATCATAGACCAGGTAGAGTGTAAGGTGAGGGAGCTTCTGGAGAATGAGAAGATGCAATGTCTGGCATTAAACTTAGATCATGGAGTGGAGTAGAAGAAAGTAGGACACTGGTGAATGCAGGATGCCCAGTTGTTTATGAACAGTGACAGAGTTTCAGTATAAATGGGCAGGATTAGGGAAAACAGGGAGCCTGGATGTATACCAGATAAATACACAACTTCTTTAAAGTCAGATCTGAGAGAAGGGAGACAGAGGAATAAATCATAAGTGCCAAAAATGCCTGTAATAGAACAATGAACAAGACTTAGAAAGTCCAAGACTGACAACAATCAATTTAACTAAGCAGGGAAACACATGTGGGCTCAGCAAGGGTATATATATATATATATATATATATATATATATATATATATATATATATATATATATATAGTGAATACACAGTTTTTTTCTGCCCATCAGTTCATCACTCTGCCTATGGGAGCACTGCCCAAATCAAACCCTGAGTGGCTCAGGGAATCAGAAGGTGGCCATATCTGCACCCTTTGGCTGCTCAAAATCTGCCAGTGGAAATACTTTAGATTTTAATCAACTAGAGCAGCCTTTTTGTGATTTTTGTCCTGAGGAAAAACATGAAGGATTGTCTAGGACTAAGGAATTTCCCCATAAAGAGCCTACCTGACTTAATTTCTCATTACTTGGGTAAGGAATCTCTAACTACTATATGCAAGTGTGATCTTTAGTACTTTCTGAGCAGAGTATGATTTTCTTTCATGTATGTTCCCCTTCCCATGAGATGTCAGTACTTATACTGACATAGTGGAGCTAGAGGTAGGTTCTGTGTTTACTGTTTAAAAATTTTCCCCCTAACAATTTGTCCTTAGGTAATTACCCTGAAAGTTAATTCCTAAAACCATTAACCAAGGTATTGCAAAGGGAAGTGCAGGTTATGTGGCAGCTTTGTTCAAACCCTGGAGAAGCTATTTTTGGTGGAGTGATAACACGACAGTCTCAAGAAGCTATGGCCATAACAGATGAGCCTGTGCTGTGAGTTACTCTGGGTCGTACTTGAATTGAGCACATCCTTCCCCCTGGAGAGGTGGGATTTATTAAAAGCTCCCTTCATGTTCCCAGGTTTCATTGGGGTGCAGATACTCTTCTTTCTAGAATTGGCAGAAAGAGATGGGCAAACTCAAGCCATGTGAGGATATGTATCTCTAGGGTACTACTATCATAGGCTCAGAAATCCTCCCCCTTATCAGGACATCAAGTTCTAAGGGGAAAGAAGAGAAGGTGCCCCATCACCTGTTTCAGGTTGTGTTAAAGAGGTGGGGAAAGACTTTCTCTTTCTCAAGCCCATCTCCCAGCTCTCCCAGAGGAGGAGCACACAAGCCTGAAACACTCTGAATCTATCCTCACTGCAGCACACATAGAAAGGAAACCAATAAGAATTCCCTTTGCCTCTTGATTTTTCCAAAGATTGAATACCCCCAACCCCCAATTCACCTGTTTCTGCTTCTGCCACTGTCTTCTCCTTACTTCTTAGATGTGAATGGTGGCAGGAGAGGGGAGCAATTTGACTGTCTGCAATTGGCCCTCTATATATTCAGGGAGAAGCTGGGAAGCTACAGCTGCAGCCAGATAGCAGCAGTCTTCCTCAACAGCTTCTTTTGGTTAGCTTTTAAATTCTAGAATCTCTTTAATTAAAATTCAGAGCTTTTGAGAAGTGAGCCAAGTAGGAAGTTCCTGCATCATGCCTACCATATAAGCAAACAGTACAAATAGAATGCCCATTTTCTGGAAAATGCTCTGTGTTTCCCCATTCACCTTTTTGACATTGGTATATTTCCTTTGCTACATCTCTGGACTTCCCTGTATACCTGGGAATCGATGTGCCCATTGTCCTCCTCATTATCTTGTTAATGAAACATTATTCAGGTGTACTGCCCCCATGTAAAGTTAGCCATCTTGTAGGCCACACAAACCAAGCTTCGTGGCATCTGCAAGGGTTGTTCTCTCAATTCTGGGTGGAAAGCCACGTGCTGGAAGGAAGTCTAATTTTCTCATTTGAAGAATGCAGATCCTCCCAGGCTTGAATAGGGCATCAGCTGTCCAGGTGCCAAACCTGGTCTTTTTGAAACCATATTTCTAAGGCAAACCAAGATTTGGCAGAGGGGGATATCAGACAGTGCTGCTTGGCTAGGTCTTGGTAGCAGTAAAGTATCATAGCCATTCAAAACACCTACATGTGTTATTGTGGACAAACAATAAATAAGTTATAGGAAGAAAGGAAACAAAAAGACAGACCAGGAAATACAACTTATTGATTGAAAGCCTTGTGCTACTGTTCCCCCTTTCGCTCCCAAGTCAGTTCTGTCTCCTAGGCCTGCTTCTTACCAAGATGGTTATCCCAGAGCTGTCAATCTCAAATTTTTGATAAATCTGCAAATCTTCACTCACAATTTATAACTTACTGAAAATATACCCACTTTTGGAAATTGCCCCATGCACTGTTATTTCAGCCACAAACACATCCATGTTTAGAAAAGTTTAAGTGAAAGGAGACACAAAACCTAAAATAGAAGGTACTTTCCCAGGAATCTACAAGATAGGGCACTTTGCAATGTTATCTACTATTCAGATATCAGAGACAACATTAGCCTAATGATCCTGAGAATTTGTCAACCACCTTGACCTGTCTTGTGTTCACCAGACTGGTATCATTCTCACATCACTTCCCATGCCTACCTCTCAAGTTTCCTTTAAAAGAAGAGGTGAGAACCCCTAAAGCATCTCTTACTCTCCAGATGGCACCTATTCTCCCTTGAATGTTTATTTTTCATGTACCTAAATCAATCTGTTTGTCTCTAACTGATGTGTTCTTCAACTCATTTTAACAACATTTTTGGGGATCCCCAATCATCATGAGTTGAGGTTCCTCTCTTTGGTACCTTTTCACATTCACATGAGGATGTGTGTATGCTCACACATTCACACACAGACCCATACACACAAAATTTCATGGGAAAACAATCGGAGAACAATGTGGGTTGACTAACTAAATGTATTAGGACATGGTTCCTAATATGGGGAAATAGTATTCTAGAATCTGCAACAGCTGGAGAGGCCAAACTATGCTCCCTGTGCTCCTGCCCACAATTCTCTTGACATACACACTCTTTCCTTCTGGACATTGTTCAGAGCTCACCCCTGGAGTCAAATCACGTGTCTTGTCTCTTTTGAGGGCTAAATATTTTCTGGTGGATGCTAGAAAAATTGAAATGACAGTGCTCTGATCTAGAGACAGAAAAGTCTAAGTGGGACTCAGAAGTCAAAATTTGACAGGCTGCCCTATTTTTAAAGACAAAGACTCTTGATTGAGTGTCTGGATAAATAACATTTTTTGGAAAAAAAAGTGTGCTCACAAGACTACACATTGTGACAGATTATATTCCTGAGACTTGTGCTGATATACTTTCTTAAAAGATGTACAGCTTACTGTAATCCCCTGTGAGGTCCCCATAAAAACAAAGCATGAGGAGCTTCATGTATAGACAGACCTCATAACCAATCCAAAGTTTTCCAGAAGAACCTGGTAAATGTAATTATCTGGGTTATTCAAAACAAGTTCCTTCATCTGTTGAACCCCTCCCCCCCTTTTTAAACCCCAGTCTGACTTTACCTTGATGGAACACTTGTTTGATTTCTAACTGAAACTGTATCTCCCAATTGGCAAATATATTCTGTAACCAAATATAATCTTTTATTCAACGTTAGCCTTATTTATCATTTCTTGGTTTGCAACCCTCAGTTGTGACAGGATCCTCCTGCACTCAGTGGTGACCAGGCCCTGCCATACTCACAGCAGTCAACCTCGATTTTCGCCCATGGAAACCTCCATCGGGGTCCCTTCAACAGATGGATCTTAAGGCCTAATGGTAGTCTGGGACACAGGATCATCTCAGCTCAGCCCTTTTACAAAGGATAATTTTTCCTTAGAGCTGGTCTCATCTCTCACAGAATTGTCCCCACTGGTTGATGGTGAAGAAACCTAACATCATATTGTCAAAATGATCTCAGATATGATCTAAGTTATCTATCATTAGGAATGTCCTCAAAGTAGAATTACAGAATAAAGGACTTTGTAAGGAGAAAAATCACAGGACTCAGGGTTCCAGAGAGGGACATGGGGCTGTAACTCCAAGTCCCTGAGGAGGAAGAGGGGAGACACAGAGAAGCTTCATGTATGGACAGACCTTCACTTCTCCTTTCCTTGTGTTACTGTGGCTTACCCGCTGTGGCCATCAATTTTATGTTTTTTTCCACAGTAATAATCAGCTTCATCGTCAGGCTGGATGTTGGCAATTGTTAAGTAATGATTAGCCCCAGAACTGGAGCCTGTGAAGCCATCAGAGATCCCAGTCCCCTTGCTGTGGCTGCCATCACTGTTCACCTTCATTACATACTGGGGGCTGTTTCCTGGCCTCTGCTTATACCAGTAAATGAAGTAGTTGCTGTGCTCACTGCTCAGGGTGCAGGTGAGTGTGGCTGAGGCTCCCAGGGAGGCAGATGCAGATGGTGAGTGGGTCAGCACAGGCAGGGCACAAAGACCTGGAAAGATACAATTTCATGAGTGATACTGAGTGCTCAAAAGAATGGAAAATACCTCCCCTTAGGATATTTGGAGGGAAATATAGAGAGGGCCCCCAGATTGTTTTGCTCTGACCTGTGGAGAAAACAAGGGGCAGAAGGTAAATGTGAAGCCACTCCATAGTGCTGAGGTGCTTCCAAGCACTCTATCTTGAGACTGCCCACCTAGGCCTGGATTAGGTAAGGCTCCCTTTTATCTTGTCTTCTTATAGCTAGAGAAGGCAGGAACATTGCATGCAAATTTGTTCTTCTCTTCCCCAGCTTATTTGTCTGAATTCTTGTCTGAGCTCTGAGATTAATGGCTCTGTGCTGGTAATATCCTAAATTCAGAAGAAGGTCCTCATTGGGGCCTGGTGCAGTGGCACATGTTTGTAATCCCAGCATCACTGGAGGCTGAAGCAGGAGTATTGTGAGTTCAAAGCCAGCCTCAGCAAATGAGCATGGCCATAAGCATGTCTGTGAGACACTGTCTCTAAATAAAGTATCAAATAGCTGGGGATTTGGCACAGAGGCTAAGTGTCCCTGGGTTCAAACCCCAGTATCATAAAAAAAGAAGAAGAAGAAGGGCCATGGGGATGTCAGAGGTGGAGAGTGCAGTTCACCTGGTAGCAGCAGCCTTAAAAGAAAAAAAAATATGCCCTCTGCACTGGAACATTTCTAGGAGTTCCCATCTCAAGTCTCACAGTGCCCACTGCTGGCCACAGGACAAATGGCACCCAAAGTGCATCATTAGTTCATGCAGAATTACCAATTATGAACCCTTAGTGTATGGCAGCCTCTTTGACAAGTGTCTTAAATAAGACACTTCAGGTAGACATTTGCAATAACCCAACAATAGCTTTATGCTTGGGCATAAACTGTCCCCCTGTATTCCGATGAAGGAACTATCATTCAGAGATTAAGAGATATCACCTATGTTCCCCAAGGAGAAAATGCCAATCAAGAGTCCTGCCAGAAGACTCACCTCAGAGCTGTCCTTTCATCCCCTCTGTCCCTTGCCTCCCTACCCATCTCCTCCTCCCTCCCTTATCCCAGGCCTCCTGGACCCTCTTGTCAGAAGCATCTCTTCCTTTATCAAGTGCACATTTCTCCTTCAGTTCTATGGCAGGGAAAGGGATAATTTCTCTGCTTCTTTAATGGCATGTTACAAACAAGAACTTCTGGAATTCTGAGGAAAGACTTGAAAGCATAATGAAAGGGCACAAGATTGTAGATAGGAACAGATAGATAGGAACAGACTCTAGTACTTGCACACATGAAATATGCTGCTGGGTCAGCCCCTTTCAAGCTCTGAATTCAGTCAAGTTCCTCCTGCTCTTTGAGCCTCAGCTTCCCCATTTGGGAAGAGAATACTACTTGATCAGAGTGGGGTTGTGTTTAAATGACTTAAATCATGGGAAATGTTGGATACATGCACACATACAAGCGCAGGAATGGCTGTAGTCTGTGTACTAATCAAAGGAAGGGTCATCCTAACAGCCGACTGTTCTGTGTAGAGTGTTTTATGTGTCAGATTCCTGGCCCTGGTCCTCAGTGACACCATCAGAATGTCTCCCTGTAGAACTAAAGCCAATTGATTTGTCTTCTCATCACTATGTGATGAGTGTCAACACTTCTCTAGCTGCCTCTCTTGGTTAATGTTATCTGTGTGAACCTAGGGCTGGGAGGATGACCTTAGCTCTGAAAGACTAGAAACACAATTACCAATGCTTTAAGAACTTTCTTCTGATCTGTGTGAGATGAGCCAGACTTTCTTTCTAGTCGTTCTGGTGCTGAAAGAAAATGACACTGACAGGGAAGGAGTTTGTGTCTCACTTCCCACCTGTGTGTGTCTGTGAGATGTGTACCACTGCTGTCCCATGACTAACAATATTAGCCAAATCCTTGGCTTCTGCTGTGTTGATAGACAGGGTGGCTATTGTCCCCTAGTTAGAGTCAACATATCTCTCAGGTATCTTTGAGGGCTGCTCACTCTGTATATCATTTAAGCACAGGTCTGATCTGGCTTAAGCTGGTTCCAATGGATGTATTCTTTGGGCAGTGCATCTCCAGAGCAGGGACTCATGGCTATCTGTTCCAGGGGCACTGAAACTGAGGACATCTATGTGAGCTCTTAGGAGGCCAAAGATCCTGCAAGAGGGGAGAGGAGAGAAGGCCTCAGGATGAAGAATCCATTCTGAGTAGCCCAACTTAGCATAGTGTTTGAATCAGACCCAGCTCAGGGTATTATGAGGGCTGAACCTAGGGTCAAGACTGGCAGATCACTTATACAGAGAGTGAGAAGGTGGACAGGAGTAAGATTTAGAGAAATGTAATGTCCCAGAGCCTTGTGTTTTGAAATCTACAGCACAGCTGATCTCCCCAAGGTCTCTCTCAGGTCCTTTGGGACAGTGATTGGTTTTTATGAAAATCCTCCCTTCACTGAGTGTTTGTGGTTAACATTCTAACCAGATATGGGGTAGTACAGGAGAATAAAGAGAATAGAGAGAGCCCCAACTCCCTCCAGCTGCTCATGGCAGAAATTTAGCCTTATAGGCCAAGGCCACTTTCCAGATTTTGACCTGTGACCATCTTCCTATTTTCTTTATACTATGGTTTGTCTGGGCCCAGCTAAGCAGGACTATTCACTTTACAGGATCCTGGGAGGATCCTGGAACCCTCTGAGGCTGTTGAGGACACATGACAGCAGAAGGTGGGCCACTGATCCATGACTTCCCCCTCCTCTCCTCTCCTGACTTTAGATTCAGTTTGGCCCATTCCTGGTCATTTCATTTTAATGTGGCACTTTGTCATTAGAACTGTTGCTAAATCATTTCATATAACACATTGTGTTTGCTAAAGAACGACCTGAATGTGTGGACTTATCACAATTTGCAGTCTCATTTCAACATGGTATTCTCCCTTTTCTGTGACAGCCTCCTTCCACAAAAGATTAGTAACTGGCATCAAAAATTTATTCTTAATTTTTCTCTTTGCAAAAAGATTTACCTAACCTTGTTACTAGTTGCAGAAGCCATTGCTGTTTGAGAAAAAAAAAAAAAAAACTGAAATCCCCATGGTATCTTTAAGGGTTGTGGGAGTCACAGTTGTACATGGATGATCTTTGGAGGGTGGGTGGATAAGGATCCCTCCAGCAATGAGGATCCTTTTACTTAACCAAGGTCAGGCTCATGGTCATACCTAAGGCCCTGAGGCACATGAGATTCCAGAGCACTCTGCAGAATCTCCTCAGAGGTTGTTCATGCTCCATCCAAGGAAGAAGCCCAATTGTCCCTTCCCCCACCGGTACCTGAGCATGATCACAGAGCCTTAAAGATGATGTGAGTGTACATAGGAGGACAAGCCAGGGATAAGTCAGAAGGCATCTCTGCAAATTCCCAGCATGGAGGAGTAATACCTGGGACAACTTATGGACAATGAACAATTGTACTCTAAAATTAAGCTAGGAACCCCTGGAGCTATATGGGAGGAAGGACATGGGTGTAGAAGCCCAAATTTTCCTACTGGATCTCATCTTGGTCTCTTTAGTGATTTTTAGCCCTACATGCTGATACCTAGGGCCAGCTTTCTCCACTTCCTTACTTAGGTGAGTTCTGTACTGTGTCCTGGGCTCATTTAAATGATATTCTGACCCTCAGACCATGGTCACAGTAGCCCAGGGCATAGGATGGACTTCCAGATCAAAGTCTAAATTTAGTTTACCTGTCCTGGACCCCCATGCTGGCCTCTCTCTTGGTCTCTTCTGTGTAGTTCTAGCCTCTGTCTTGGTAGCACCTCTGCTGCCATCTGTTGGTGGAGGAGACCAAGAACTGCTGCTTCCCTCTAGGTGACAACAAAAGCCTCTGTAACCTGCAATATTGTGGGCAGAGTGCTGCCTCATTCTCTGCCATCTGTACCCTGCTCAGCACAGCACAGAGAAGAAGCATTTGTGTTTTGCAGGGAGGAAAGATGGGGTAGTTCTTTAATTGGGTCTCAGAATAAAAAGCTGTCTCTGGGCCTTGTGTTTTGATACAAAAATAGAGCTTTCAGAATAAACTGTAGGTGTTCTGTAAAGTGCCATTTCCAGAGAAACTTTTATGACACCCTTCAGAGACATTTAGTGCCTTTATATTATACATAGGAATCAAGGCTGATGCTTTTTCCTGATCTGATAGCAGTAGTAGCAATGTCATCAGAACACCTTATGCTCTAGCACCAGAGCCCAACTGTGTTTCCATCACCAATACCATCAACATCTTTCTAATCCTCATCATTATCACCTCTGTTACAACTATTATTATATGACCCACTTTTACCTACCATGCATTTTGCAGGACTTGCTCATCATCCCAGTATGCCTTCACTTTCTAACTGGGAACTTCCTTTTCTGTTCTCTGCATAAGAACCCTGTTCCCACCACTCTTAAAAATAAGTGTTTGAATATTTTCCATATTTCCCCAGAATCAATTCCCCAGAAGGACAGTACTCTAAGGATGGTGTCACTCAGTGAAATCCAGGCTGAGCCTCTTTTAATTAATGAGACTCTTTTTGTTATTGTGTCATTTAATTTGGAAAAATAATTAAAGATCCATTCAAGTCTTCACATTTCAAAGTAGATGTAGTTGAGATCAAGGAAGACTCAATTTCTAGGACAACAGAAATTGTGGAAATGACCCAGTTATCCTACACTTAGGTCTGTCTCTATGTAGAAGAATTTGGCCAGGTCACCTGGGGAGAGGTGAGGGCATGAAGGCCAGTCTAGGAGGCACATTTTGTGTCCCACACAGCTCAATGCCCACTCCTCCATGGCCTGGCCATCACCACGAGCCCAAAATCAGCCTGCAGATGATTGGGTCCATGGGGCTGTGCCCAGATTACAACTGTCAAACATGGAAAATGAGCAGGCTGCTATGCTGAGCATGGATGATCTGGATCCTGCTGGTTCTCTATGCTCTCTTACCTTGTCCCCTCTTTCTTGTGTAGGTGGCTGACATGGTTCTCATGGCCACCTCTACAGGGGCAATCTGATTCTCATAAGAACACAGTACATATAGTTTTAGGAGACGGAAGTCTCATTCTCACAGGCCCACCCCAACATGCTTCCATGCTTTGAGGTCAGGATCAGGCATGCATACTAAGGACAGGAGTCTGGGGACAGGGCCTTGGCTTGTAACCTTTGTAGTGGGAGCAGCAGAGGATTACAGGCCATGCCAGAGATGCCTTAGAGCTCTGCCTCCTGAGCCCATAGCTGGGCAGGGATCATGGTCTCTAAACAGAAAGTGGAAATTCATGGGTCAGTGAGTAGTACTAATGGTAACAGTGCAGTTCTGGATGTTTCCAAAGCATTTATAGGGGTTCAGACTATTGGGAAATGGTTGGAGTGAATGGATCTTCCAGGACACACAGCTGTCACCACTGAGTCCCCTAACTAGGAGGAAGAGGCCCCTGCCTTACTCACTGCAGCTTCATAGCTTTTCCAGAAGGAGCCCAGGATGCTAGCACCACACCAGGGAGGTACTGAGGTACACTCTGGATTATAGGCCACACTGGCCCTGCAGAGATACTGTCCTTTGGGGATGTGAGAGTAAGAAGCAGAAAGAGTGTGTCTATGAGGAATACTGAGTAAAGGAACCCCAAATATCAGATTCTTCATATGAAACACTCCCTACATTTATGTCAGTGTGTCTATTGTTGTGAAATTTAGACTTTTTTGCAGGCATACATGGATTAAAGGAATGAAGGGATAGTCATCATTTGATGTAAAAATGGGTGGGTATTTGATACACTCAATTCTCAAGTTTACATGAGTAATAAGTAGGATAAAGTGTCCAATATCCACAGATAATGGAGGACCTTTGGTCTTGTAGGAGGTTTGGGTGGAGTGAAGTGTGGCCAGCAGGAGGCATCCAAGATGACCTCAGGTTCCATCAGAAACATGAATGGTTTTGAGATTCCTGGAGGTTTTATTGGGCAGATTCTGAAGCCAGTCAGTGGGTCTCAGGAAACTCAGGTCAATACCCTGGCACCTACAGAGTTGTGAAGGAGGCTGACCTCCCCAGGTTTTTTGCTATGATGCCCTAATTGCTTCTCTCAAACTGATGGGGACAGAATCTTCTGGCTATCTCCCTGGGTCTGGCCTAGGCAGGACCTGACATAGAGTAGAAGGGGGAACCTGGGCTTGCAGAGAAGAAGCCTTGGAGTACGGCACAAAGGGAGGGTAGATCATAGATTCAAGGCAGGCATGATGAGGGGGGGCGTGCTGCAGAGGGATGGAAGATCCTGGAGACACTGCTGGGAAGGAACTAGAGCAGGGATGGCCAGTTTTTCCTCCCTCTAGACCTCAGAATAGCCCAGGCAGTCAAGAACATTTTCTCCAACTGGAACCCTCCCAAGGACACCACTGGGGAACTCTCACATGTTCATTTCTATCCCAGTGGAAATAAGTCCTACAGGACTGGGATCATTGACCTCCCTACCTATACCTGGAGGCATGTGTGTCTGTTTTTTTTTCTGGAAATGTCACCTGCTCTCCTCTCAACTGGTCATTGTCATCCTGCAGAGTGTTTGTTGGGGCTGATAACTATGATCACCAGTGTCAATTTTACTGGTGGACTCAAGACACTTGTGCTCAGGAGGATGAGAGAATAAACTGCAATTTTTTGTCTTGGGACATCCCTGAAAGTGATTTCCCAGGTAAACAGCTGGGTTAACTGAAGAAAGATTTTTTACGTGGACAACCAGCTACCTTATCAAATTGAAGTTTAATAATTTACACCCACAGCAAAATTCCCCAAGCCTAATTTGTAACAACCCTACCTAGTATAACACTAGTTACATGAATACACAGCAAAACCCTCTTGACAGACCTGCCTTAAACCTCCCCAGGACAC